GGTCGTAGCCTTTATAGTTTTACATTCTTTCCAGGGAAACGTATATAATGAGCAATTCAGATATCCGAAATATCTAAATTCTTTGAATTATCCCTAAATTGTTCGATTTTGCTGTTATATAGCTTTCTCGAGTAATTTTTACAAATCGTCAACTCGGTGATAAAAATGAAATTATATATGAATTGTTACATATTTTTCTTAGAACTAATATATTTTCTTTCTGTATTGTTGTTTGCAACAGTTATGATAAGTTCAGCAACTCTCTATAGAAAGTGACACAATCTAGAAATCATGGGATTTTGATGAGCCAGGTAAATCGTAGTTAAATAGGTTTCTTGACGGAAAAAGAAGGTTCTCTAACACCAACAACATCTCAGTCTAGCCATTGTTTTTTATCAAATTTTTCAAAGAGTTTTTTCGATAAGAGTTATTGCCCTTTATTTAAAGGCTTTATTTGTTTTGTAAGTCTGTCATTTGCAAAAATTGTGAAAACAAAACCTCTTCGCCGTTTGAAAAGTTTCAATGCACAAAAGTCATTTTTAGTCGATGAAGATGTACAGTGCTGATTTAAATTAACCGGACAAAACGAGCTAAACTTGAAATTTAAAACGCGTTTTCCTCAGATGGGTTGAGTTTAGGTGAAAACTCATGAAGACAAAACTCGCTTAAAACTTTAGCAGAATTACTATGGTGTAATTTGTAATGGTTTATTTTGGTTTTTCTTAGTTAAACGAAAGTTACGCTAAAAATACCCAGTCGATCACAGACATAATTATAGCAAAGTGAGCCTCTTATGTAGCCAACAAACTTTATCAAGGGTATATTCTCAAAAAAAATTGCAAATCGTTTAAAATTGGTCTATCAAACAAAAATAAATTGAGTTATACAATGTTTTGGAGAACATACCTTCTTAAAGTTTGTTGGGCTACGTAAGAGGCTGATGTTGATATAATTATGTTTGTGATCGATTGGGTATTTTAGGCGTAATTGTTGATTAACTAAGAAAAACCAAAATGACCCATTTTTGGGGTAAAACGCTGGGCCTCAATTTCGCAAAACAAATTACACCATGAGATTTCAAGTAAACTCAACCCAGTTTGAGAAAAACGCGTTTTAAATTTCAAGCTTCTCTCGTGTTGTCCAGTTAATTTGAATCAGCACTGTACATCTTCATCGACTAAAATAATTTTTGCGCATTGAAACAAAAAACTGCGAAGAAGTTTTGTTTTCACAATTTTTGCAAATGACAGACTTACAGAACAAATAAAGCCTTTTTCTTGAAGCTCAAAAAGCTATAAGGTTGTATATTATATACTTTTAAATTCAGAAGTTGAAGTTATTTAAAAAAATCGGTTGTTTTTCTCGCGGTCTGTTAGCTATAAGTTATAGTAAATTTCTAGGCTGAGTTGCTTGCCTGAACCCAAATTCAACCAACAAAATCTGTAAGATTGAACAAACTGATTTTTGGATTGAAAAAGTTAGTTCTCGGGGTCAAAGTTTTCTCAAAAAATATCTCACCCTGCCTAAACTTCTCTTGAATCAATGATTTTTTCAAGTCTTCTAAAATTAACTTTGTGATGGACGAAAATAAAGCAGCCGCAAAAAAAATGTTTTGGTAGGTCCTTGCAGCAACAAAAGACAAATTGATTTTACTATTAAACTTTTGCGCATGTTTTAGGTTAGTTTCTTTATGTTTTTAAAATGTTGAAAAAATTTAAATTTATTTCAGCCATTGAAGTAAATTGAAGCGTTTTTGTCAAGTCCTAGAATATTTCTAGGAAAATATATTCCAAAAAAAAGAAAAAATCAAATCGAGGATCCATTCCAGGTTGGTATGATCGATTCGTGGATGAACTGAAAAGTTTACACGTACCAAAAGACTAGTCAAAACATAATTTGACTTTTTGTATCATCTGTTTTTATGTGTAAAATAAACAGGCGCTGTTGCGGGAATGAAAAGATTTCTTAAAGCCAACTCTGAATTTTGGAAAAAAAGTTATTCGGCTGAAACAAAATGCCCTGGAGTTGACCAATGATTGGACAAAAAAAACAAATCCTCCAATTATTAACAAAAGTTTTGTTCCACTTTGCAAAGAATCAATTTGTCTGTTTCTTGTGTAATTTCTCAAAGACATTGTTTTCAGTAAGATGTCTTTATCCTGTATTATAGAAAAGATCATGAAGTGTTTTAACAAAACTCCAGTTAGAAGAATTCGGAAAAACCAAAGTATTTACCCAGGAATCGAAAATAAACTGATTACACGAATTTCATTGTTACAAAATATTAAACGATATTTGAAAAACAATTTTTGCACAATTTTTTTTTCTAATTTTTTTTTTTAGCTCTTCTACCAAAATGTTTCTCAGTCTGATTATTGCTCTGAGTACAGCGTGCACAATAATTCTGTTAATTAAAAAAATGGAGCTAACATTATATGCAAAATTTCGATCATCTGATCATAAGGTTCTGAAAAAAAAAACAAATTATCAACTTTTACAAAACGAATCTTCAACAAAAGAGTTTTTAACATTGTGTTAGTTTTTGTTTATTCAGTCAATTCTGATCAATTTTCTGATCAAATCATTCTGATCGATTTATTTGCGTTTTTTAAAGGAGTAAAAGTCAGATTAAGACAAATAGTTTTGGTCTCATTGGAAGGATAAAAGGCGCTAAATACTTCTTCATGTATTTAACAAAGCAAGTGGGAGCAAAATGAAATGAAAAAAAAAAACTTTTTTTTATCAGCATTTCCAATTTTTTTTTATAATTTGCCCTAAAGTGTAGTCGGAACATTCTTGGTTTTGCCCTGATATACGCGCAGTCTTGTTTATTTATACTGTAAGGAAAATGTACACAGTAATTGAACACTAAAATGTGCGGCTTAGGTTGAAAAAATGCACTTGTAATACCGCTAGCAATTGCTTGTTCAGAGGAGGGAAAGAGAAAATACAATTTTTAATTTCAATTTAAATTACTTAGCTCTGCGTTGCATTTCTCGATTTTGGTCGATTGAAAATTCAAAATAAAACCAAGTTATCACCCGTGCCCTTAAATTTCTTAGAATTGGCTTGGAATTGTCTCAAAATAAAAAAATATATAGAAAACTTTACCTGATAAAAACTCTGCTGCGGAGATACTTTTAATTTAAACATTAAATTCCTTCTTCAAAGCAAGTTAAACAAATAAATTTAATACACAATAAAACAAATAACTCGAACAGCTCTAAGATAATTCTTCGTACTTCAAACTTCGTCTACATTTTGGTATGAAATAGGACACAAATTGGGAGCCAGAAACGACAGGAAGTCTTTCTCCGGATCCCCTGTGGCTTTGATGCTTCCGAACACATGTGAGTGGTAGTGTACAGCGTAGCTGCATCTGAACAAATCATTCCACTCTTCTGTACTTTTGGGTTGTCTGGGCCAGAGTAGCTCTTTGATCCGGCTGAAGGAAGCTGGCATGAAGGTGAAGTCAGGAAGGATGTTGAAACTTCGGTCTTCTGAAGTTAAAAAAATGACAAAAAATTAACATAAATTCCGGAATTAATTCTGGAACTTATGGTTCCAGAATTATCATCTTGGTCTTGAAGAATGGCTCGCGTAAAGTGTCCACAGTTACACGAACATGAAACCTGAACATATTCAAATGGTTGACTTTACAAACGGGCGTTGGCAGGTCAATCAAAGATGAGAAAAGGCGATTGGAATTGGCATAGGGCATTGAAGGACGAAGTCTAGGCAACTTTTTATCATGGTGCGCAGTTTGTTTAGGGCAAAAAGTTGTTACATTTCTAGTTCCGTTCTCTTGCTTTCATAAGCTTCGAGTTCAGAAAATTTTTACGCACCTCGAATGAACGCACCTCAAGCCAACATCACTTAATAAGTTCTGAAAACCTTGTATATTTAAAGTTGTTTTAGAAAGACTCACTACAAAAATTAGCCACCTGTATTAATTTCCAATGAAATTTGGACAATTGAAATAGGTATTCATCTTGCTGAGCGCTGCCTGCAAAACTTTTGATTCTGATTGGCTGAAAATTCTATATGAAAATTCCATTGTTAGCAATGCTAACAATGATAATCGGAGTTAAAAATCCAACGCAAACCTGAAGACTCAATTTGCATGTTGACCACTTCAGCCAGTCCATACATCTCCTTGACCACAGCAGTGCATACTTGTGGTCCAGCCTGGAACCTCCAGTTCAGATCCGGATCGTAGGTCTGGTTCAAATACATAAGCATGTATCGGGTGAAGGGGTGTCCGGCTGAGAAGTGCATCTGGCCGTTGTTCAACTTCTGGCCCCTCTGTCGTCTAGAGGGTAGATGACAGCTCTTGTCTGATTCAGACATAGTTCTGCATAAACAGAAAAAAGGGCGGATGCAAATTTTTTCTGGGAAGAGGGGGAATTTTTGAACTTTTTAGCATGCTGATGTTAAACAATTCAAAATTTAAAAAATAACAGACCAGAAATTCCATTTTGAGCATTTTTTTCTGAAATTTTGATGAAAAAAATAGATATTTCCAGCGCTGGTCGTTTCAAATCACTATCATATTTAGGGAAACGACTTTAAGATGCAAAACTGTAATTTTTATTACTAGTATTTTCTTTATTAATTGACGTTTGTGCTTTCGTTGGTGCAGCATATCAAAAAAAAAATTTGTCAAGATATTATAATTTTTGCAATAATAATTATGTAAGATCTAACAAAAAAATTATGTAAAATTTATGTGAAAATGTAATTAAAAACTCGAAAATCAACCCTTAGTTTTGTTTCAGGACAACAACTTTTGGCTCCTTTTTCTTTCCCCACACCTGCATTTTTTTACTAGTAAAATTACTGTTCCCACAAACCGATTAACGAGAAAGTTGGCATGCGGACTAATCGGGCCATGACAAACATATTTGGTCTTCATAATTAACCTTGTAAAACTACTCATTACATCATTTAATTGATATTCATACGAGGTGGGGGGAAGGAAAACGAGCCCAACTTTGGGCCGACTTACCGTCAATTGATTCTAAAGAAGGTTGAGGCACGCACAACTTTCAGTTATTATGTACATTTTTAGCTAACACCAACACTTAGCATAGCTAAGCCTGAGATACTTCAGAGCTATTTCAGTAATGTTTCCATAGAAAGAAAATCAGCGCTAAAACTTTCAAATTGTAGTAGCTTTCAAATGAGAGTATGAGTTGATAAACCCATTAACTTACGGATATCTTAGCGTTCGTGGCACAGAGGTAGCATACATGTCCAATAAGTTGATAGTTTCGGGGTCGAACTCAGGTAGTTCACTACTTTTTGCTCAAATTAATAGATTTTTTATTGCAGTTTCATCGATAATCTTTAGCGACAAATCTTTCGATAAATTAGCAATTATCTTTTGATAAAATTTGCTATTGTGGCAATGATCAACGATAGTTCATCAATGGCGATCGCTGTTTTTTCTTCACTTTTTCCGCGTAATGTTCGTTTTTTTCAGGTCAACCAAATTGATTTTCCGAGCTCTCCCAAAGCACTAAAAAGACCCTGCTTTGGCCAAATTTTCTGCGCCGCAGACAAGTTTTTGAAAAAACATGCCAAAAAATTTGTTTGTAGGCTCTTTTTGCGAAATTTTGACCACAAAACGCGTTTATTCGTCGCGCGCTCACCCCTCATAATCAGTATATATTGGAGCCAAATGCACTTTCAGAAAATTAGGGTCCATCGCCAAAAAAAATTTCTTAAAATAGTACAAAGGAGGTACGCTTGGGGTAGGCAGGGGGTCGAATCCCTGAGGAAGAAGATAGGGCGTCCACTCCCGCCCCCCTAAATCCGTCCCTGAGTACACTTGATGTTTTATTTACACAAAATTTATTACAACAACAAAATTATCATTACACTTCAGAATTTGTATTTGTATTTGATGGATGATTCCTGTGAACCTTCGCTTTTAGTTTTGGAAGCAGTTTTTGGAGAACATTTGTTTTTTTTGTCTGTTGACGTTGCCTGCATCCAAATGGCATTGGCTTCCCAGATGCAGTGCTTTGTATTTTTCTCAGCGGATTCCAAGAAATCAGAAACTCAAGAAAATTTTTCTAAGGATGTGCACTACCTACCTGGCTGAGTTAATTGGGCTAAAAAATAAGATTCAGGTTTTTTTCCTGAGAGGAGGGCGCCTGCAACAAAAATGCTCAGCAATTCAACCCACTGCCGACTCAAAAGATCTCCCTTTTGGTAGTACATAAGGACAAAAAATTTCGGCTGACTGATACTTATATTTTTGTATAGGCGCCTTGCCAGCTAATATATGAAGGAGATCGCGTGCCAATAAAACGCAATTTTTTGGTCAACAATTTTCCCAAAAATCCCCTTCAAAAATTTGCCTGTGGTGCAAAAAATTTGGTCACAATAGGTACTTATAGTAATTTGGTAGAGCTCAGAAAATCAATTTGGTCGACCTTTAAAAAAAAGGTCGACAATTTTTTGAAAGTTTCTTAAAAATCCGCCTGTACCATATTTGAGAAACTTCTGGATCCGTACGTCCACTAAAGCACATTGAAAAACCTAAAAACTCAACACATTTCCGAGAAAAAAACTTCAAAAAAATAAATTCAATTAAATCAAATCGTGATGTGTGCATTTTCTTGAAAAAAATATGAAAACAAATTCAGTTTCATTGTGTTTTTTTTCCACTGTGTCGGAAACTGTGCCATAGGGCGAAAAAATGCTTTTCAGGCACTTTTGGAAGAAATGTTGACCAAAGAAAACACGCTATTTTGGCGCGCTCTCCTTAAAAATTATTATATACTGGCGCCCAAGCAACCCTTGAAAAACCTATTTGACCTAAATAGTACCAAAAGGGGGACTTTTTTAGTCAGCACTGGGTCGAATTCCTGAGGGGAGGGCCTTCGCAACCTCAAAATCACGAATTCGACCTGCTGCTGACCCAAAATGTCCCCCTTTGGTATTATTTTAGGAATCATTCAACTAAGCATTAGAACTACGCATTAAAAAGTTTTTGAGAACTGTCTTTTTTCAGGAGCAACGAAAAACTAATTTATATTTTTAAAACCCAAAAACTGTCGTCGCAATAGTTTCTTTTTTGATACCTTTGAAAATTCTGACAATACTCGCATATGAAGAACGTCAAGAACGTCCATTTTGTTTAGTCGCCAAACTTTTCAATTAAATTGTTCCATTTAATTAAAAAGATGAAGCAGTAAACATTGAGAAAGTCTTATATCGAGGCAAACCACTGAGTGTTCCGACTCCCCTTAATCGATATCGAATAGTTACTTGCGATGAAATTATTTGAAAACCATCCATTTTGGACAATAAGAAGAAACGCTCAGTCAAAAGCAGCAAAAAATCCAAAATGTCATAAATAGGACGAGCACAAACAATCAGTTACTTTGAACAAAACTCAGTTAGAAAGGTTGAAAAATCAACCAAATTGATTTTTTTGCCATTGTTCTGTATTGAAGTAAAAATCTGATTGACTACTCCCTTGTATGTTTGTATTGTACCAAGCGAGCGAAAATGAGAAAGATACTTTTGGAGCCTTTTTCTTTATTGCGCATTCTAAGGCATTTCAAAAAAAACTACGGGAGTCAAAATCGGATATTGAAGCAGGCTAAGCTTTCAAAATTTCGTTCGAAACTTTTTTGGAGCTTTTTTGTTGGGATTTGGTTTTAATCATTATAATTATTTGCGGAAAATTTTCAGGAATTTAGCGGAAAGCGTATATTAGTTGCTAAGATACAAAAAGAGTTTGAGTTCGTTTGTTTTGTATTGAAGCAGAATTTTGATAGTCTACACCATTGTAAGTTTGTATTCTTCCAAGAATCTTTAACTTTGTTTGGGCGAATTTTGAGGCTTTTAAAAAAATTAAGGTTGTCAAAACGTAATACTAAAGCAGATTATACTTCCAAAACTTGTTTGAAAAAACTTTATTGCTTTATCGTCCAGAAAAAATTGTCTCAGGTTTTCATGTTTTTTTGCTGTGATTTGTTCAATTTCTTTATAAATGTTTGATAAAAAAATTCTTGGATGGACGAGAAAGCTTAATTTCGTTGCTGATGAACCTGAAAACATTGCATATATGTTTGCCGATATTCAACCAGCTGCGTTGCTTCTTTGTTTATCATGAGTATTATGATTGTCAATTCTACTATGAGTAAGAAATTTTTAATTATCATTGCTATGATTATATTCATTTTCATAATTACGATAATTATGAGATTTTTGATTATTAGGGTAGTCTTTTAATTGTTATAATCATATTGATTTCTATTTTTTGTGCTCCGACTTTCGAAAAAAAAAATTAAGGACTTCAAGCCAACAAGACTTCAAGCCAAATTTTAAAAATCTAGACATGAAGCCAAAAATTTTAATTAGAAAAAAAAACGAGATTGAAATATATAGAACATCATATTTTTTATTTATCCGTTTAATGAAATTTTTTAAAGCTTTTACATACATTCAGGAGGTTTCTTTATATCAAAAATTAGGTCATTAAGGAAAGTGGTTTTCTAGTGTACAATTTATGCATTTCACAAAACCGGCTGATGCGACACCAAACGCCATCTTTAAATAGTGCATTGTTACGAACAACGATTATTATATTCTAAAGTGCTTAGTTTTCGTAAATTTACCTAAATTATGAGGAGGTATTTCAATCTTGTAGAAAAACTGGGATAAATTGAACAAAGGGGCAGTCGCAACATTCAGAGTTTACCTTGATGTACGAGCTGTTTTCTTATCGTTATGACTTATATAATTGTTCGCATTTTAAAAAAAACCTTTGGTCTACCGGAAAAAATATGTTGGCACAAAATAAATCAATTTCATTACAATGATTAGATCGATGAGTACATTGTGTGCTTCTTACGCAGCAAATGGCTGCTTTTTCTAGTGATAAAATTGTTTAATCTGAAATGTATTTTCCAAGAATACGTCATATCAGTTCAAATACACCTATTTAGCTATCAAGTTTTTATAATTACTTTCTATGAGCTCATAGATCTACAAATCCTTGAAAATTTTCTGAATAGCTAGACTAATATTATTTAGGCCGGAAAATTTTCATCAATTGGCATTAAAACTAATTGTTTTTGCTGAAACTTGTTCAAACTTTTAAAAATTTCAAACCAGCCTTATTTCGCCGAAAATTTATCCTAACAAGAACCAAAGCGTGAGCAGGGCAAAAAATTGTGAATCTCCAAAGAAAGCTTACTACGAATGCATGACCCAAAAATTACTCAGTCGAAAACCGCCAAAAACCAAGGAGGCACCAAAAAGACTGCGATGATAAAAATTAATTTGATAAAAAACGCTCAGCTACAAAAGGTTGAAAAGAACACCAAATTG